TGTAGGATCCTGAGTATCTGTTTGCCATGCAGCGCGTTTCTGTCCCAGAGTAGCTGTAATAGCCCGTGGGCTTTGAAGCTTATGGCAGCTGCTACCCTGCGCTGTGTGTTGCCCTGTCCATCAAATTGGAATGCTGTATGGTGTCTCCTGGCGGATGACAGGCAGAGGGGAATTTTGCAGAAACCTTGCTTATTTAGCTGTATGTAGATAAGGTTAGTGCCTTCATGCATCTGTACTTGGCTCTTAACTCACTGAGACTCTACTGTGCAAAGATAAATAATTCCTGAGGAGGAGTGGAAAAACTTCTTTCTTCAGAGTCTTTCTTTGGTTCTGATCCTTTGCAACCCTGATCAGAGAGAACAGAAACTTTCCTGGACTTCAGAGTGTGGGATCCCACTTAGAGGTTTCTTTTCCAGCTTCTCCCTGCTGGCCTTTGCATCTGTTCAGCTTGACTTTGAGTTGATTCTACCTTCTCCCTGATTTAAGACCATGCTGTCATCATTTGTATATGGCAGTAACACTTTGCTATGGGCTAACACTGAAAGTCTTGGCCAAATGATCCGCAGCCTTGAGAATTCACCGTGGACTTAAAAGGTGCATTTGAGAATACCAAATAAAACAACATTGGGCATCCATATTAGCAAGGCAGAGGACTTTATTTCTAAATAAGGGGACAGGAGTTATTTATCATCTTGATACAGCCTCGCCTAGCTGTTGTTAAGCACTTTACAATTAAGTTGTAGGGATCTTGGATTTATTTTCCAGGGCTACAACAGTGGTGTTGTCCCATATCTGAAGTGCTCGCTCCAGCTTTGAGGTTCTTCTGTTCACTGGCATGAAAAAGCACTGCTATTTTTCCTCTGGAGTAAGCTGCGTGGCTATCAAGGTGCATCGGGCAAAGTATTTCGTGTTTACAGGTTACTTGATTGTACGTACAGCAGTGTTGTAACATGAATCACTTCTTGTCCTGAGGGTTTCCTGGGAAATAGTCTTTTGTCATGCGTGTGTCTTCTGTTGGAGTCAGGCACACCAGGAAATGCACCTTCATATGCCAAACAACTGAGAAGTCCTTTTATACTGGCTTTGCAGTCTCCTCTTTATGTGTTCTTCAGGTCCTGCAGCTTTTCGCTCACTCTAGACCTGGAGCTCTGAGGATGCTTACCTGTCTGAACAAATCCTTAAGTCACTGGGCCTGTATGAGTAAAACTGGCTTATGTGACATGACGAGACTGTCCTTTTTTCAGGCACAAGTCATGCTGAAATTGTATTCTTAAATATTTAATACAGAGTAGGGGATGTATTTTTAAGGGTTTTGAATCATCTCTCTCTGGTGAGCTGTATGGGATTTGGTGTGCCTACTTTGGAAGCGTAGCAGCCTGGGTGAATGATGGGATGTGAACCTGTAATTGCTGAAAAGCTATTTTTGAGATGATACTGAGGCTACAGGCTGTGCTTGTGACTCATCGTTATCCAACAGCCTCTCAATTGTCTGTGTAGCTTGTGAATATTGTCCGATACAGCTCTCATCTGAGGGTGGGTTGGAACTGCTGAATTGCTGCTTTTTTGGGGGGGGGGAGAGGTGGGTTCTGCTGTCAGAGGCAAAGCTGGCTTTCAAACCCACATCTATGGGAGTTAGCTGTTCTCCTGAAGCATGACAGTGTCTGCAGAAAATGGTAAAGCAAGCTGAGGGGATGCTTCTTGTATTAGAATGCAGAAAGGAGGCCATGTATCTGCTAGATTGAGCAGTGTTGTTTGGGGTGCTTCTGGGAGAGCAATTCCTGTGCTGTTTACAGAATTTAGGTAGTTTTAACTAGTAGCTTAGACAGGACTGTTTCAGGCTTGACCTGAGATGAAGTAACAGTTATTTGACATTCAGGTTTGCTTGTCAGCTGTCACCATGTGACCACCAGAAAATACACTGCTGAACTGTAGAGACTTTTTCCATTGGGTAGCAGGAAGGAAAAAAAAATCAACCAAACCAACCCCCTGCCCCCTTTTTTTTTTTTCCCCCAACTTCTGAAATGGAGCTAATGAATGATAGCAGGATCTCAAGTGGTGTGCTCCTGAAGTTTGATTATGTGCATGTAAAGGCTTAAGGGACTGATCATGGAGGTTATTTTCTCTGTGTATGTGGAGTCTAACACCAAATCCCAGATTGAGAGGAGGAAGCCAATCAGCTTATTCTCTATGGAGTCCTCAGAGCAATGCCAGTTTATGATGGCTAAAGCGTGATTCATGAAGCTTATCCTAGGGGAAGTACATGTGATGCTGCCTTGTGTAGCTGAAGAGATCTGTAGATCTTCTCAGGTACATAGCATCTGTGGGCTCTCAAAACTTGAGTCCCTCCCTGCCCAGGAGATTGTCATTTACATCTCCTGCAAAGGCCCTACCTGGGGCAAAAAAGCTGTTGAGCAGCCCCAGCTCAGTCAGTGGAAGGAGAGGTACCCTTATGTACGGACATAGATTCATGGGGAACCTCCTGGCACTCCCTGGAAGCGCTTTCTTCTCTGGTGGAAAAGAGAGGTGGGTGGGGGAAGGTTCTGTGCTGACATAGTCAGAAATGTTTGCTAGCTTGGTGGAGAAGCTGCTGTGCCTGGATCAGTGCCATCAGCAGTCATAGGGCTGCAGGCTCGGCTGTCCAGATGAGTAAGTTGGCAGCCAAGCAGCTGGAGCACCCTGAAATATCTTTTGCTGGGAGGAAAGAAACTTGTTCCTGTTGTCTGTCTGGCTGTAATAAGGAAGCTCTCATGA